CTTGGCCTCCCAAAGTGCTGGGATTACAGGTGTGAGCCACCATGCCAAGTTAATTTTTGTATTTTTAGTAGAGACGGGGTTTTACCATGTTGGTCAGGATGGTCTTAATCTCTTGACATCGTGATCCGCCCACCTTGGCCTCCCAAAGTGCTGGGATTACAGGTGTGGGCCACCGCACCCGGCTGGTCTTGTCTTTATCATGACCATAACCTGGCCAGTGTTCCAGCTAGCACATAATTTCTTTTCCTAAATCAAGCTATTTTATTTATATTATTTATTTCTCAAGCAATAAATGCCAAAGCTTAGTTGGAATATTTTTTGAAAAAAACAAAAACAAAAAAATGAAGGCTAGGAGCCATGGCCCATACCAGTAATCTCAGCATTTTGGGAGGCTGAGGTAGGCAGGAAGATTTCTTGAGGCCAGGGTTGGACAGCAGCCCGGTCAATGTAGGGAAACTTCATCTCTACAAAAAATAAGTAACTTAGCCAGGTGCGGTGGTCCATGCCTGCAGTACCAGCTACTCAGGAGGTAGAAGCGGGAGGAACCCTTGAGCCCATGTTAAGGTTGCAGTGAGCCATATCTTGCCACTGCACTCTAGCCTGGACAACAGAAGGAGACCCTGAAATCCACATAGCTCTTCTTTGCCTCTTTTGGGTGCGGCTTTCATGGCCACCCTATCTAAAACCACAATGCCCCAAATACTACTTATCCTCCTTCCCCACTATATTTTTTCCAGTAGTGCCTACCATATCAGATACTTTATTTACCTAGTTTTTTTCCTCTTACACTGAAATATAAACTTTTTTTGGAGATGGGGTCTCCCTCTGTCACCTAGGCTAGAGGGCAGTGGCGCGATCTCAGCTCACTGCAACCTCCGCCTTCCGGGTTCAAGCGATTCTCCTGCCTCAGCCTTTTGTGACCTTTTATGGCCTTTTGTGATTGGCTCTTTTCACTTCACATAATGTCTTCAAGACTCATACACGCTGTAGCAATGTTTCAGTACTTCATTCCTTTTTATGTCTGAAAAAACATTCCATTGCATGGATATATCACATTATCCATTCATCATCTGCATGTTTCCAGCAGAAGTACTAGCTAC